GGGAATGAAAACAAACCTCTGAAGGAGTAACTGTAAAACTTCCTTTGGTGGCCTACTTTATTATTCAAACAAACAAACAAAAAAAGCCTTAGCTCGGGGCTTGGCAAATAGTGCCTGCCTAACAAATGGTCCTGCTGTGAAAGAGCCAGGGGAGGAGGAAAGGGGTCCTGCAATGGCAGGATGAGGGGTCCCGCCCCACCTTCTTTCCCACAGATGATCGGGTCCTGGGGCCGTAAGGCAGGAAGACAGGGGCTGCGGCAGGGCAATGGAAAGAATGAAAGAGAAGGGGATGCTTGGCAGTAACACTGGGACAGCTGGAGCGTTCCTGAAACTGCGCACCCGCGGCAGCCACTTATGCAGGACAGTCCAAGGAGCATAGCATGTACTTATTAAGGAGCTGGTCGATGACTCTGATATGCAGGACTTTAAGTTTTCATGGGAGTTTCATTTTTATATTTAATTTTGATTTTTGAGATTAGGTGTCCTAAATTCAGTGTCCAAAGGAAGCCCAAAACTAGCCTATCTTCTCTACCTTTCATGCAAATGCCAAGCAGACTACAACTCATCTTCAAAGAAGCCCCACCTCCCCTTTCCAAAGAGCAATAACAACATGGGCTGTCATTCACTGCGTCAGTTCTTTTGAGCACTGCTCCAGTTCATTTCAGTCTTTGATTTCCTTTTAAAGTCTGTGTTACTGTAACTACAAAGCCATCTCTCTAATCACAGGGCTGGTATGGCCTTTTGGACATGACTGTTTCTTCACCAGCAAATAAAGCTGATTGCTTCTCCTTTCCTACTGCTCCTAAATGTGGGCAGAAGGATGGGTTGTGGGTTTTTTGCCTAAAAATACATTTTTAATTGATTTTTTTCCCTATAACAAACAGAGGAAGGGAGAGGGAGAGAGAGAGAGAAAAACAATGATGTGAATGAGAAACATTAATTGGCTGCCTCCCACACACGTCCGGGCCAGGGATGGAACCTGCAACCTGGGTATGTGCCTTGGCTGAGGGATCGAACCTGCGACCTTTTGGTGTACAGGACAATGCTTAACCAACTGAGCCACACCGGCCAAGGCTGTTAACTTTTCTCTTGACCAAAGAGAGAAAATATACAGATATTTGAGATTCTTATAAACCTGTTTTTTATATCTTTAGAAGGTATAGATGCTAATTTGAGTTCAGGAATCTGAGACGATCAATTAGCATGGAGCGTTTGAGGTTAATGGCTGTGCTCTGTGAGAGTCGCCGTTCGCTTTTAGAAACCCA